CCCAGCTTGACCCCCCCCCTCACCTGGTCTTTCACTTTATCTCTTGGGTCAGCTTCGGCTCCTGAGTGGGACTCGAGAGGCAACCTTTCCCGAAACCATCCCTGAGGAGACCTCCAGCACTGAGGAAGAGCATGTGGTAGGTGGCGGTTGTGGTAGCCCTTAGGAAACTTTTAGATTTATTTGGCAGTGGTGCTTCACAAGTCATATGGATGCACTCCAGTTGGTTTTTCTTTTCTTTTTTTTTTCTTTTTTTTCCATATTGTCATTATTATTTTTCTTAGATATTGTATTTTTTTTCTCTTTCCAGCTTTTTTTGTAACTTAAAATCCTCTTTTTAAGGATTTTTTTTTTTTTTTTTTTTTAATGAATTTTTAATCTGGAAACTGATCATGGATTTTTTTTTTTATTATCTCTCCTCTGAAATAGTTTGATATTAGGTTTGGAATATAGATTTTTTCTCTCTTTTTTGTTTCCTGAATTAGAGGGTCTGGTGCATTGTTAAAGTAAGTTATTGCTGTATTTATTACAGCTACATATGGGTTAGCATCGACTATTTGCACACACACTTCACATTACACAGTTACATTATTAGCATTTGTTTTTATTAATATTATTATCACTTCTGCTTTTTCAGTTATTAAAACATAGATTATAAAACATCTTGTCATAGAATTCAGACAGTAAGACCCATTTTGAAGTGGATATATTTTCTATAGATCTACATGATCATTACCACAATATAATCATTATTTACCAACACTCAATACAATTTTGATTTTATTGTTGTCTTCTTAATATTTTAGCAATGGCATGCAGAAGGTGTTACTAATTTCACTCACTAGTAAGTGCAGACAGTAGTCAAATTAGAGCTATTATTTCACAATAGTGCATGATTATGTTTACTATAGTGATCTAATTATGTTACAAGAGTGATAAGATATGGTAATATGCCGAGACCAGTTTTTGAGTCTACAAGAGAGACTTGAGTTCGTCCTCCCCAGGAACTGAAAGAAAATTGTCCTAAAAGAGGTGGCTGTTCTATAGGAAAATGCAGGTTGTTCAGATCAAGAAACTGGGGCCTTACTTTCTTCCTGACATACCTGCCCTTACTCACTCACCTCTTTATTACTCTGTTATCTATTTGGCAGACTACATGGTATGAAAAGGAACACATTTCTTGTATTGTTACATTAGGACAAGATGTTTTTATGTTACATAACATTGTTACATTCTTAGACTAGCTGATTATTTTTCAATTTAGAACATTTCACTATTGCATTCTTGTAATAGGTTATAGATTTGTATTATTAGATTTTATAGTGATGTAGATAACTCCTAACAGTAAGATTTAAGAAATTAGTCTTCCTCTGTTACTTTCCATCTTTTTTTTATGTTTCTTTTTGGATCTAACGAGTGCAAAAATAAGTGATTTGTGTTTGCATCTACATACAGTATGATTTCTAATCTTGGAAATTTATCAGTTTGTTAATGCCAAAGATTATATAATTTCTGCAGCAGTAAAAGATACATAAATAAAAAATAAGATGAAATTATAATGATTATATCTAAAATTCCCTTACTTTTTATCCTCATTTGAAATTTCTAATACAGTTATATAAACAGGGATTTGAAATATATTGAAGAATTTCTTAACATTACGTAAGGATGGAATTACACAACTTTAAAACTAATACATTGTCTTTTTTTTTGAAAGATCAAAGAATTTAAAATAAAAGTGTAGATGCAAAACAGACATATTTCCATGTATAGTATCAGTAAATTAAATTTCATTATAAAAGAAAACTTTGATATGATCTTCTGCTCCCTCCACTCCCCCTGCAAACTCTTTAAATACATATGACTAAAGCTCTTTTGTCCTGTCCTTTGTACAAAGTTTGTTAAAAGCCTTAGTTACTTGTTCATCTTTATGGTGAGTGTCACTTAAATATTAAGGCTTAAAAAGCTGTAGTTGAATATGTGCATTTGTGTATTAATGTCTAAAAGTCCTGTTTGCTTTGAATATCTTTGATAATAAGAGCTAGATCTTTTGTAAAATATCCTTTTTTATATAAAAATTATTGTTTATTGATGTTTCCTCTTGGATGATTCATGTTTTGTAATGTTGTAGAATTCTGTAATGAATCTTCTAATGCTACTATGTTTGTATCCATTTGTAAAATTAACAGAAACACTTGGGGAGGTTTATTACCATTCTCATATGGTGATAAAAAAATTATAGAATTTTTGTTCCTTGTTTTTGTGTATATTTGTAATAAAAAAAAAATGTCAATAAATGGCAAAATACATTCCTAATTATTTGGATAGTTTTGAGTGGTACTACATTGTAAGGAAGCGAATATAATATTTAAAGAGTTCCTGGTTTTATCCCTGTTCATGTTATTAGGAAATATGTCTATGGTACTTCATTTTTTGCCTATTACAATGTATGACATGATTATATTGTAGATGGTAAACAGTTGATATTTTATGGATAAGTGTTGTCTGTCTCATCATAAAAGAATAACAAAATATTTTTCCATTTCCAAGGTGATATTCAGACTTGGCTCCTACCCTGACAATGATGGCAAGGAATCACATGTTTACAAGGTAGATGATAATGTTTGTGTTAATTCAGATTTAAAATTCTGACCTACAAATGTATAGAATGCAAAAACCATCCAGTAGTGTGTGATTTAAAAAAAAAAAAATTTAATGTGTTAGATCACTTCACTTCTTTTAATATACATCATATCTATGTACTATTCACACTATATAATGCCATTATATGTGCATACAGGCTGAGCACCCATCCTCGTTCCTCCGGCCTCCTATTGTGGAAGTCAGTGACGCGACAACCCCAACTCAGCCACCCTCTGTCGCCGCTTCCACACCCACAGAATCGCACACTCCTCGTCTTCTAGAGGCCAATGGTTCAGCTAAAACCAGGTGAGAGCTTACAGTCTTTTTACAAAAGTTAACGTTGTAGTTTTCTAACTCCTTTTTAATGTGTTTAATTCTTTCTTATGTTTTCTTTTCCTTCTTTCTTTCTTTCTTTCTTTCTTACTTTACTTTTAGAATTTTATTTATTTTACCCCTTACCATTTTGCAAGATACTTCATTTTTACTTTTGTGTTTTACAAAACTTTAAACTTTTACTTTTTAAATTTTACCTTCATATCTATCCAAAAGAGTTTTACTTTTACTCTTTTATTATTCACTTCATCATTTTATCTAATTTCATATTGTTCTTTTGATAACTAAATAATCATTATAATATTAGTCTCATTGTCAGTATGTTGTTATTTCCTCTCCCCTGTGACAGCATATCAGCTGCAGGAGCCAAGCCCAATTCTCTCACTGACCCTACTCTGGCGACCTTCCTAGACGTGGCTGTTCTCCGCTGCCTCTTTGTCCCTCAGTGGATGGAGGAAGGCGTTTTCTGGGCCTTGAACTTCATCTTGAGGAGGTAAGAAAAACAGGGACAGTGACGGCAGCTCTCACATCCTGCGGGAACGTCCTCGAGGTGTAGCCACTGCAATCACCCAGTGAATTTTTATAACGGTTTCCCCTTGGCCTCAATGCTGGGGTGGAAGAAAGACCTTTGGGGTAATGTTAAATGTTCTGATGATAAAAGAGGGTTTCTTATTGCCCGATAAATGGTTCTTTGATAGACTGTACATTCAAATTTAATTATTCCTGTGGAGGGAAAGTCATTAATTGTTTGCTGTTTTGATTGTTTGCCTATAAAGGAAACTGCTTTCTTTCCAATAGAAAACCAGCCCCAGCAAGATCAAAATGAATCTTTGAATAAGATAGTTCAAGTTAGAAAATTTGTTTTCTTAACTCTTTGAAATATTGCTCAGAATATTCTGTATAGTCTGTATAGATTTAATATTCATTTAGCAGTAACCAAATTCTCCTTTTATATATAAAATATATTTCATGAACAGTGCTGATTGCAGTGGCTCAGAATCCTCAGTCTGTACAAATGTGAATAAACTGTAGTTTTGAAACCCTCTGCACTTTTTTTAGGGCAGAGATAAACTGTGCATAGTTAAGTGATTCTCATCAGAGTTTCTCATTCATTAGGATAACCTACCATTCCAACAGAGTAATTATGATTTTGTGTATTCTTTGCTTTCTGAAACCATCCAATCTGCATGGTTGGAATGATGTGAAACTAACCTTAATCTGTATACTATACAGCTTTACTTACATCCCTTTGCTCATCCTTGTAGGGATATTTGTTAACATATCAGCTAAGGTATATTTGAAGTGGAAGATAAGACTTAAAATGGATTTATATATGACTAGCTATGTTAACTGTGCTGATAGACCACCTTGATGTTTATCTTATGATGTTTGATTTACAGTTTTCTATATAATGAAACATAAATAGATAGATAAATGGATATATATATATATATATATATATATATATATATATATATATATATATATATATATATATATATATATATATATATATATAATTTTGTAACAACTCAGAATGTTTGTTCTGACACTGTAAAAGGAATAATAAGAATACATGTTTCCAAAAGGTTGTATTTATGTGAATGAAGATTTTGTTTTATTACTGTTAGTTGTGGCTTACATTAAAGACATTAGTTATATAATGACTTAAAGACTATAGGCTGCTAATGATTTACATGTTCTACTTATGCAGAAAATTAATGTCAGTCTTTTTTTAAATATTTAATATTATCATTATTTGTTTTGTTTCTACTGTTATTGTAATTATTACCATTTTTAAATATTTGCCCATTGTGTTCTAAAGCACTTACTTGGTACAAATTGGCAAGGAAACTGTCAGCACAGTTAATGTAGGTGATTTGTTATTTGAAATATAAGATAACTTTATTCATCACTTAACAGAATCTTCATAGTACTAGGAGCCTAGATTTACAGATTGACAATATTATGAACAAAATGAATTATATTGGAAATATTGAATTTATGAAGGAATATGAATTAAAGAC